TTTAGGGGTTTAGTGTTTAGGGGTTGAGGGTTTGGGGTCTAGGGTTAAGGTGGGAGTGAAGTTGGAGGACTTCTGGGCTTCATGGTAGAGGCCCTCTGCGATGTGGGTTGTTCTCTGTCCTGTTGGGGTTTTCAGGTCTTAGGGTTTAGGGTTTAGGAATCTTGTTGGAGTGTCAGGGTTTAGGGTTTAGGGATCTTCTTGATTTTTTCAGGGTTTCATTCATTCCAATTGGGTTGTTGAGGGTTGAGTTGGGGTTGACAAGGTTAAGGGCTAAGGGTACGTGTTCCACGAGCAATTTCCCAGAAGGACCATCCCTTGAAGGAGAGTGGAAACCCCCTTTATCATCCCTCGCGCTGTCATCGCTAGACTCTGCACCCTAGCCTGAGCCCTAAGCCCCTAAGCACACTGAGCTTTGCACCACTTCGCGGAATTCGGGGAGAGATCCCAAAAGGCCTCTTGCACGAAAGGGACTTAGTAAATAAGGTTATAAGTACCTTAATTGGGTTTATACGTAATTACAAGTATAGTCGCCATAGATAAAACCCTAGTTACTAAGTCCCATGATCCTTGAAGTGTAAACCTCCTTCAGTTTAAGCCAGGAGGCAAGGAGCGAATGATTAAAGGATGTTGGATTCTGTGGAGCATTTTGTAGTTCCAGCGTCCTGATCCCTCAACTGCGCCCCGTGATTTTGATGAGGATTGGATCGGCAAGTACCCTTTCGTGTCCATCGAGGATCCCTTTGATCAGGACGGCCATGCCCCACAACGCCAAGAACCCTCCAAGCTAGACCCTATAACCCTCCCCTGAAGTTCCGGAAAATGTCACGGTTCAGGGCTTCGGGTTTGAGGTGTTGGGATTGAAGGCAGCCGGAGGGTTTAGCGGTTTAGCGTGTATTTGGATCTGCTTGGCATGAGTCTTAACGAGATTTTAGGACTATTCCTTCATTCAGGAGTTCCGTGTTGTCTGGATTTAGCTTCCGTCGCCCTGGTACCTTTGAAGCTTTGGGTTTGTACCTGTAGGGTTTCAGTTTTCAGTATCATGTGGCCTCTTTTGGGGTGTTCTTTGTGCTTCCCTTTGGTGTCAGCGTGAGTGCTCCATTGTCATTGTGGATCTTAAGGTGGTGTTCAATTGTAGGTGTAGCTTGGCCTGCCTTCGGTTGTTTCTCTGACTTCCCAAAACAGAAAACCTCACTGCAGACCACCAACGAACGCCAGTCCCGAAACGGTCTGGTGCTTGGGGCTACTCTCCTCTTTGCCAAAGAAACCTCTGACCTAAACCCTAAACCCTGAACCCTAAACCCTACACTCCAAACCCTGATCCCAAGCCCGAAACCCTTGAGCCTATATGCCCTGTGCCCCAAGCCCAAACATTGGACACTACTTAAAGGATCATGGGACTTAGTTAGCACTACATATATCCCCGGTGGTATACTTATAACCTGACTTGCTAACTCCCCTGATCCTCCAACTTGGCCGCCGAAACCCCCGAAACCCCCAATTCCCCAAACCCTAAAACCCGAAACCCGGAAAAAGGCCCCAACAAGAACTCGAAACCCCCAGAATCCCAAACGGCCGAATTCCTAAACAGAAGGAACGTCCTTCAACCCCAGGCCCCCCAAAACCTCCCAGGACGACTGGGAGGCGTACTCCAAGTTCCAGGCCGAGGTGGGTGAGACCATCCAGAGTCTCGTCTTCACTGAACGGTTTAGAGTGTAGGGCTTTGGGTTTAGGGTTTAGGGTTTAGGGCTTAGGGTTTAGGGTTTAGGGCTTTAGGAGTCTTCACGGTTGTTTTCCGAATCATTGAAGGGCTTAGGTTCTAGATGGTTCTACAAGGGGCCTATAAGCATTCTAAGAAGTCTTGAGGGTTTAGGGTTGAGGGTTTAGAGTTTAGGGTTTAGGGCCTAGAAGCTTTCTAAGTTTTTTGCGTTTAGGGCTTCATGGTGTGAGGGTCTAGGTAGGCCCCTGGTTTGTAAGCCTCGCTTTCTTTCAGAGCCCGAGTAGTACGATTCTGCATTTCATCAGGGTTAAGACGGCCCCCGCCCCAAACCAAAGCCCTAAAGCATAAGCAAAGCCAAATATTGATTGCAGGACTTGTTTTTCAACATTCTAAGCTGGGGTTTAGCTACGAAGGCCCCAAGACACATGTCGTTGACGACCCCAGATTAATACGCCTCTGCCTCAAATTAGATATGATTAATACTAGGTCTCGCAACCTAAGAACCAGGCTAGAGTTCGTAAAACTGTCCTGCGATCAATAAATCCCCTTTGTTTGAGGGCCTTGACCTCAAGATCAGGAAATGGGGTTTATTACTCAGGGGTCTACATTACCCCTAAACCCTAAACACCAAGCCCTAAACCATCAGGAGTCTACATTACGCCACGGGAGTCCTATAAAGGCAGTGCTGTCAGTCGGCGGAGTTCTGACGACGAAAGGCCGGCGATCTGTATCAACGCAGGCACTAAGTTTTAGGGGGTTTCCTTTAGGGTGTAGGGTTTAGGGCTTCTTTGAGGAGTTTAGGGTCTAAGGATTTTAGGGGTTTAGAGTTTTAGGGTTTAGGGTTTAGGGTTTGAGGGTCTAGGGTTTAGAGATGTAGGGTTCAGGGTTTACGGGGGATTTGAGAGCCGGTTCTGTGGTGCCGGCCCCTTCTAGGGGTCCCTAAAGGGATCCATAAGGGCTAAGCGTTGAGGGTTTAGGGTTTAGGGGGTTTCTATAGGGTTTCTATAAAGGTACTACAGGGTTACAAAATGGTTAGTTTTTTAAAATCAGGGTCCCTTTCTGGGTCCCCCAAATCGTACGGCACCCGGTGGCCAGGAAGTACTTCGCCTGATAAATCATGGCAGACACCTACCCCTCCTCGTTGTGGCAGACATGCAGCACATGGTTGTGCGACGCCGATTGTACAGTCGAGCACCATGCCCAAAGAGAAAGCTATTTTCTCCAATTCTAGAAGCGTTGCAGGCGCGAGTGCAGTTCTGCTATGTCTGCTAATATTATTCGTAGTGCTGGTCGTGTTGATGCATGTGTTTAGTGTGGATGCCCTTACGATTATACTTTTATTGCTAATTAAGTTGCAAAGCGGGATCTGTTGCACTCGCAAGCAGTCTTGGCATGCCTAGAGGCATCACGACACGAGGGTTCGGGTGCGAATGATTTCGATGATAAAGTGCGGAAGATCGGAAGATCTTACGGAATCGGCCGACTCTCAGAAGGAGTCCTGCAGTCATTAAATGCCCGAGCCCAAATTCGACGAGGGCAAATGCAGCAAAATCCCACAACCGTAAGAGCCTCAAGGTTTAGGGTTTAGGGTTTAGGGTTTAGGGTTTAGGGTTTAGGGTTTAGGGTAAGTAGCTAGAGCAGCTCCAGGTCGGCTTGCAGGTTCGGTGGATGCCTGACCGTCTTTTCATCCTTGCAAGAGAGCCCTTCCTGCTTCCCCAGGGTTTAGGGTTTAGGGTTTAGGGTTTAGGGTTTAGGGTTTAGGGTTTAGGGTTTAGGGCAAGTCGCGATATTTGCAGCTATGTGCTGCTTCTAAAGGAGTCTCCGCTACAGCGTACTTGCAAAACAGCTATGGTCGCATAGCTCTTTTTAGTTGTCAGGGATCCCTTCATGTCGTCGCTCCCCAGGCTTTGTTCCATCTAGAGATGCCGTGAAACTATTTATTGATTTGGAACTTACAGCAGCAAAAAAGCGGAAACAATCATAAGCTTTCAACATCTTGAACCCAGAAACAACTTATATGTTGCTTCTAATGTTGTCGGTGAGTGTAATCAGAGATCCCAACGCAACGTTCTGCATATCCTACATATCCTTGTCCCGAAACCCTAAACCTTAACGTGTCAACTCAAGTCAACGCATCCGTAAACCCTTTAAACCCTATGCTCACTTTGGGGCTCAAATCACCCACTGCCGCACAAAGCCTGCGAGAGCCTAGAGTCCGTAGGGTTTAGGGTTTAGGATTACATAATAACATGTTCGGGCATGTTTCAGTTCGGGTTCAGGGTTTCAGGGTTCCATCAAGGGCCCAAAGTAGCTTTCAAGGAAAGAAAAATCTGACTTCAACGGCCTGGGTCCCGGTTCCAAGGTATCGTTGTTATCTTTGGGTATTGCCTGTGCCGGACGAAGAGCTTTTGTAGTTCGCAGAGCTCCCTTTTAGTCCCCATGTACTCACAGTATAACATATCGTGGAACCTTCTTCTAGCTATTCATGAAAGCCCCAAAACACATCAAAGCTTCAGTGTCGCAAAGCTCCGAGGATTGTCGGCAGCTTGGAAGCAGCTGAGCCTCCGTGAGCGCAGGGTTTCACAGAGCTTCAGGGTTTGGCAGTTTCAGAAAACCGTGACCCTACTCCTTCAAGGGGTTCTCTAGAGGCTCTATAAGGATTCGGCAGTTCTTGATGTTCAAGTGTCTCAGGGTTCGGATTTGACGTAGTGGGTGTAATGAAACAGGTGGGTTTAGGACAAAGATCCCTATACCCTAAAACCCTAAAGTGCGTAATTTTAATAGTGTGGCCCTGGAGCCCCCAAAGGCGTCAACACCTTATTCGAACTGTTAAGTCCCCTGCATTACTTATGGATGCTGTTGGGTTTCCGGAGCTGAGGGTATGGGAGCACGTCGGCACAAAACCCCATCCAAGACTTAGGACTTAGAACGTTAGATCTGCACCAATCCAAGCTGGTGCACATGAGCATTTAGGGCTTTTGCTTGGTTTGGGGGTGTGTCAGGGTCTGGGATTTTAGGGTTCCGAGCTATCCTAAACCCTACTTGGAGTATCATGGGACTCAGTAACTAGGGCAGCAAGGTAACTTTACTTATCAGTATTTTTAACCCCAGTTCAGGTACTTATAACCTCAGTAACCCCAAATCCTAAGCCCTAAATTCCTAAACCCCAAGCCCTAAACCC